ATCTATTTGAAGTTTAACTCGTCACTCCAACATAGAATTTGTGTTGAATTTGTTGAATTCACTTCATGCTAATCATTGTTATTGTAATTAAAATTCACTATCGTCCTTTTGGTTATTTCTCTGAAGTGTGAAGGGTTGTCTGCGTGCAAATGACGTTTGCCAGTGTAAAGGTCAAGTCAACCAGTCAGTTGACTGGCAAGCAAGTCATTTTGTTTCTTTTCAACGGGACGACTTGTCAGCGATCATTTTGACAAGAATATTCCATTGAAGTAATAATTCCACTGAAAGTTTCTTAAGAAACTTCTCAGAAGGCACTCTATTGTATCGTACTGTCAATCACGTTGTTCAATCATATTCACTTTTTGAACCATTCACTTGATTTGATTCATCAATGAGAACTTCTCTCGTCACAATTCCACGAATACTTTCTGTTTGCTTCTTTTGGCCGCAGTCTTTTCCTATTCTCCCCCAACAGCAGAATCTATCTATGTATCTTTATTCATTGTAACCATGAAATTGCATGTGTAATCATCATTTTTTACGCATGGAAGTTGTAGTGCAGTATCAGTCTTGTACACGCACTTCAAAACCTTTGCACTTTCAATTCTTTTTCTACTAGTCTTCGTCCATTCAAAATATTGTCTTCTTAAGACGTCTACCTTTTTCGAATTCACTTCACTGGCTCTAGATGGATGTTAAGCATTACATTTGTTTCGACGTGCTGTCCACTATGATATGAGGTCTAAAATCTTAATTTTTATTGTTTATTCGTATTGAAAATGATTCCGATGACAATATTTTGATATCAGTTTCGAACACTTCAGTGCAGCAGTATACGTTTATGAAGCGCTCATTACAATGGAAAACGTAAATATGCAATTAATTAAGTTTCTGCTTGAGTATCACTGAGTGTTTCCAAGTGTTATTTGTTATAAAATGCGCGAATGTTTTTTTCAGATCAGATCCCCCAAATGATTTACTATTCCAGCGTATTTTAATTGGAAGATTACGTCAATTATGTTGCACTAATTGTTTACACATAAAATGAATCAGCATTGCACTTTCATTAGCTTTTGAACAGAACGAAACAAGTTCAGATCTCTCTCTCTCTCCCATACAAACACACGTAACTCTAGGATTCTCGATGAATTGAAGGAAGTTTGGAACAAGATTAAAGTGCGATTTCAGCCTGTCTTCAAATCAACTTATTTGATATCGTTCTCAAACTTGTGCTGCACTTAATACTGATCGTTTATGATCAATTATGCTTGCTGAATGTATCATCTGCTGACTTCTGTTAACATTTGCAGCAATTAGAGCATTGTCAAAAACTGAATAACCTTTCGGTGAAACTAAAGATAGTGATTTCAAACCATGCAATAGTCAGATCCTGCAAATGATACCATTCAAAGTACCATTCAAACGTATTTTGAATTTAAAAATGCGTTAATTATGTTGATTTTTTTTTTGAAATAGACAAATCTAATTGTAAGTGAGCATGACTTTACCATGTAGGTATTATTTGCTATAAAAATAAAGATTATTTGTGGCAATTTGCATCCCAGATATCTATTTCATCATTTAAAATCACCATCTATTACTGCTCATCACCGACAATGATAAGTCGTCATTAAGTTTTTACGGAGACGAAATAACAAACGCCATGTGGTGTGTTCAGTTCACAATCGTTGCAAAATTCTTTGCACGCACTCTCAATTTTGCAGATGCTTTTTGCTTATTGTTAGACACTGCAAATTTGTTATTTGATCTCTTTTAGCAGCGTTTTGATTCTCACATTGCGCATCCTTTAAACGACATATTAATTGATGATTTATTGCTCGGAAAATAAGCTCATTTTCAGGTATGAAGCTGCTTCTCCTGATCGGCTTCTTGATATGTCGTGCCTCGGCCGATATCTTCTCGTCGATGGCCACAATGAAGGCACTTGTTGGAGCCGAAAAAGATATACCAGTAATGATCAACGCTTACATTGAGAGGGAAATGGAACGACTCGAATATCTTCGCAGGTATTATACAAACTGTTCTCTTAACGTTTCAACAAGTTCTTTTAATTGTGTGATTGTTTTAATCAATGCACATTTGATAATCGTTAACACATTAAGATAGGCTTCATGCAATCTTCTCATGAATCAATTCCTATTGATTCTTCAGAATATAGGATGAATTGCTTCGAGATTGCATGTTTCGAATAGTTTACAAGAGAAGAATTACGAGAATGTAAAAAAAACGTCTGATTTAAACAGTTATTTAATACGCATCGAGAAAGTGCTCCTCCATGCATCGTTTATAGCACATCCTTTGTTATTTTATGATGAGAACGAATCAATTCTCGTGGTAAATTTCACATTTTGTTGTCCTTTTCCATGTCAAGGTCAACACCACAAAATTGAAATTCATCGTTCTTAAAGTGTTCAAGAAATGAAACATGTAATGGTAACAATAACCGTAACAATACGTGCAAAAGTACTTCGGTTGATACTTCGTAGCTATTTTGCTCAGCACAAGTGAAATCGTATCCGCTAAGCACATTAAAGAATAACAAATTATTGGATGTGGATGCACTGATGAGATTGCACACATCTGTCTCATAAATCACATTTAAATGATTGAAGGATTAACACTCCTAGTGAAAATGTTCTTTGCTCGTTTGATCATTTTCAACTTCAATTAGCAATCGATCATTTACAATTGGAGATATCATCGATCATTTGAGATAACATCGCAGTTGATAGCCCCAAACCATTTTTTTGCGGATGAGGAGATACTTTCATATTCGCAGAAATGACAACAGAAAATCTTTTGCCATTTACAATCGGCTCGCTGATGCGGATATTTAAAGTCTCAAAGATATCAAGAAATTGGGACTAAACTCGGGATTCAGCGTTATTCTCGCTGATTTTTTATGCAGATTTGCGGATGATGTTCAGCAACGTAACGACAACGCAATCGCCGATGGTGAAGAGTCGATAACACATCCAATTAACGCATTCTTGCTGATCAAAGAGATGACCACTGACTGGAGAAAAGTNAATTCAGCCGAAGAGTTCATTCGTAACGCTACACATCAAAGAATCATGAAACATATCAGATATCCCACTGATGTTAGTCTTTTCGGCAACTTGTGAACTCATATGAGGGGTGTATTAGAAAATGCGGATGTGAATTTTAACTCCTTATGAGCTTCTAGTCCCAAGCACAAGTCCGAGCATAAATCTGAACTAAATTCGAGGTGGGAACTCGAACTAAAATTCATCTAATCGCATTTCTAAGCCCATCCGAGTTTTGCATTTGGCCGTCTTTTGAACCGTTTTCGCTTTGCTCAATATATCTCAAATAGTGTTGATCATACAAATTTTGCAATTTTGAAATGAATTCTGATCGTTTGAGAAATTTCAATTCTTGGGTTGCACCGTTATGCGAGAATTTATTGGACAGAGATTTGCTGATTGTGAGAATGTATTTCGCTTCATACTGAAAACAGATCTCACACAGAGTTGTTTCCATATAAAGCGACGATGTTGCAGTTGTTTGGAAATGACCTATCTCCTAATCAAATTTTATCAGTCGAAAAATAATATTATACAAGAAAGCAAAGAAACAAGTGCAAAGCATTGAATGCAAGCATAGAAGAAATTCAGGCGTTTGATGATAATCTAACAAGCACTATGTTGTCTTTAAGGAAGATCTTGCTGGAGCAGCCATAGGTTTGCTGCGTCTTCAAGACACCTATCGAATGGACACAACAGATATTGCTAACGGCAAAATTCTGAATTCGCGTATGCGAACCGTTTCGCTGACTGGTCAGTGATCTTTGACTCGATTCATTTATTCATGCACTTTTTCGAGTGAGCGTTCCAGTAACCAGTTTCATTACAGTTCAACAGTATCGATGGACCTATCGACGTTTTTAGACCTGTTGGAATCTTATAATGAAGGCATGATTGAAGACTCAATACACCTTCTTTCAGATGAAAACTCATTTTCCAGTAATAAAATCGTCTAAAAATAGAACCTCTTGGAGAAATGTTTTCACAGTGTTCATTTGTAAGGCCTTAAGAAAGAATCTGTTTCTTTCAGCACATGACTGCTTTGAGATTGGACGTATCGCTTACAATGACTACGACTATTATCATACGATTTTGTGGATGCAAGAAGCGAAAGATCGAGTTGAAAAGGAAGACGTGCCAACTGCAAATTATGAAGATATTCTCGAATTCCTCGCATTTGCACTCTACAAACAAGGCAATCTGAAGAGAGCACTTCAACTCACTGATAAACTGGTCAGAATGTGTAAGCTGCATTCATTCGTATCGTTGCTTACCTAGAAATGATAACAGTTTGATGGAACATGCTGGAGAATGATCGAAATTCTGCTCAATTCCTCTTGTCGAAAAAAGTAATGAATCGTCGTCTATTTCCGATTTGTTATTGATATTTACACACAACAACAAATCGGAAATAGACGATGACCGATCGATGATGAACGATGAACGAATGTCGACTAATGAAGAAATACGGAATCGAACAATTGATCAATGAGTGAATAAATAACTGAACCGAATGCATAACTAATCGAAAGCAAGCCTTTTATAGTCGATTTAGCGCAATAGATAGGAGCGTGAATCAGACGAATACAATGCGATGTCTGCATTATACAATACAAAATTTTCGATGTATTCATGAAAAGGATAAAAGGTTAAGAAAGATCTGAATGTTACGAAGGGAAGCTTATTCATCACTCAATACAAAATTTTCAATGTACAAAGGATTAAGATAACATCTGTGAAGCTTATCCACTGTAAATGATATCGTTTCTATTCATGACAGAAAGGTATGGAGATAAATGGAGATTTAGATAAGTGACTTAATGCAGACTGTTGCTAATATTAATTAAATGTTACAAACGATACAAATATTACTAATATTGAATTATCCTGACAAAATTCGCCATTATGCGACACCTCTTGTCAATTTCTTTGGAGACATTTCGACTAGAAACTGCTCACGCAATTCAAATTGAAGGATTTCTGAATGAACAATTGAGTGATTTCCTTGCCATACGATTATCCTGGAATAGTGAGTTAAGGGTAACGATGAAGTTAATTTGAAGCGCCACAACATCCACGTGCGAGAGGAAATCTGCGATGGTATGAAGATTTGTTGGAAGACGAAGGAGTGCGACGTGTTGATATGCGAAGGAATATTCCACCACTGTCGAATCCAAGACATGACGGAGGACTTGAACACACCGAAAGGGACATTTATGAGGCGCTTTGCCGTCATGAAATACCTGTGGTCAGTCTTTGAGAACGTCGACATTCGCTGGCATTTTCGATACATTCTCAATAAACAATTGCAACTTCTTACCAACCAATGCTCTAAAAATGCCCAAGTAAAAATTTTGTCACAAGCGAGTGTTTTCTGGAACATGTATACTTTGGAATCATTATAAGTGATCGATTTTTTGGTGTTACTGTCCCGATATTTTTAAAGCTTCATAAACTAAATTCCATCCGTCAGCTTACATGCTCCCATCTCGTATAGAAGGAAAAATAATTTGCACAGGCATTTGCACAGTTTCCATTGATATCTGCTCATATGATTTCAGAGTACAAAGGCACTGTCCCGATTGTACTGCTACTACAAAATGGATCGGCCATATCTGCGTCTGGCGCCGATCAAGGTGGAAATCATGCGTTTCAATCCATTAGCTGTGCTCTTCCATCAGATCATGTCCGACGAAGAGTCTCGTGTCATCGAAATGCTTGCCGTACCCAAGGTTAAAATTGCGCTTTCGCTTTTAGAGCACCACTTGTTTGAGAAATTAACGTTGATAGAGGAAATATATGACACAGAAAAAATTTATCAAGTAAACGAACATCAATTGCTGATAATTTATCTCTGAGACGATTACGTCAAGCTTAAAGATTTTAGAATCAAAATGACAGCATTTGGCATAATGTTGAAATGAAAATTAACTCATTTGATAAGGGAAGCGAACAAAACCAGTTCGGTCATTGTGTAATTCAGTTACTTTGGCTGATTAAGTTCATTATCACATTTGACCATTTGTGAATGGCAAGCAATTTTCAAAAATTCATTGTTTACAGCTGAATCGTGCAACTGTTCAGAATGCAGTGACCGGTAGCCTGGAAACAGCAAACTACCGAATCAGTAAGAGGTATTTCAACTACTAGCAATTGCAGTCAAACCGTGTTTATTGCGTTGCGTTTAAAAACAACAATGATTT